GTTGCTCAAATTCCACACGAGGGATTGCCATGCTAACCAAAACATTATAATATGCGGCTTGCTCATTTCATTTTGTTGCAATGTACAAATTTTATTTTATTTTTTTTGGAGTATGTGGCCTGCTACTGTGTCTACAGGGACTAACAGAAGACGTGTGCTTTTCCAGCTTGACTGTAATTTGCTTAGCTGAGAATAAACACTTTTCATTTTTTATTTTGAATTTAGATGGTTCATGCGAGGACTGATCATTTACATAAACTTTAAAAGATATCTCTACTTGTTTACTGAATGTACAATGAATATTGTAATGATGTAGCAAAGACAAGTATTACAATTTAAAATTGCAGTCTAAATTGGAATTAAATTAAGGAAGTAAAATATATTAATTCATGAATGTTAGGATATATTAATTTTTATATATATATATATATATATATATATATATATATATATATATATATATATATATATATATAAGAAACCATATTTTTTCAAATAATCCAACATTATATAAATGTACTTTGAATGAAAGACACAGTAATTAAACTTTTTTTTCTGTGTATATATTATTATTGTAGTTGTGGTGCTTTAATTTTTGTGGGTGACCCAAAATTTTTGCTCGTGCTGCTAACTTTTCTATTTTTTGTATTCAGAGCACCAGTGCTTCTAAGAAAAGCCCTGCGATAGATGTACCATAGGTGAGGTAGATCCTCTGAATAATAAATCCATCATGGACACTGAGAAGGTAGCTCGAGTTCACCAAAAACACACCCAGGGCTATTCTGATCCATTGGTTGTGTTGAGAGTTTTAGAGATGTTTTTATTACACTTTGGTTTAAATATCAATTCCCACTATTAACTAATGGCTTATTACTTGCCTGTAATCAAGATATTGGCTGTTTGTTAGTACTTCTATTCTGCATGTTCTTATTAGGGGTGTGACTATAACCGCGTCACAGAATTATCAACATAATGAGATTGCAATGTGATTTAGTTATTACAGTCATCACTGCCGAGTTTTAGTTAGTTATTTGTTTTTACTTGTGAACTTTTCAGAATAAGCTAAAAATCAGAACAAACTAAATAAAAAAATAAAAGGCCTGACTTATTTATTTTTTACTTAAATTACAAATTTAGATTCCAAAACGAAAACACAGACTGAATCCATATGCACAGTCCAAAGACATATAGTAGGTGAATTGGGTAAGCTTAAGTGTCTGTAGTGTACAGTATGTGTGTATGTTCGGTCCTTCAGCTTGGTGGTTAAACAGTGGATTAACGACCCACCTCATAAAAAAAATATGATGTAACCGAACAAGTAACGATATGTAACAATTTCAACTTCGATATACAGTATAAGGCTCCGGGAGTAAGTAATTATAAAAAAATAAATGGATAGCGCCAATGTTTTTTAATTGCATGAACTGTAGCTTAAATTGAAATAAATTGTGAACGTTTTGTGAACGTGTGAATGTTTTTTTTTTTTTCTGACAATCTTTTTCTTTGAATTATCTTTGTTTAGGTGTTTGTGAGTCAATAGTGATTATAACCATTATAACAATATAAATGTGTAAATCACTCCTTATGGAGCTCTAGTGCTCGATGGACTTCTTGATTGGGCTTTTTCTCATTATCGAATTAAATCCTAAAATGCTGGGCTGAACTACCATTTGATCGATTTGCAAGATTGGAGGTGGAATTAGCCGGTATCTTATCTTCATCCCTGCGGACACCTTTAACGCCACAGCATTAACAGTAAATACCAGCAAAACAAACAAGCTCAGCCAATCCCAGCTCGGTAATTAGCCTAATTAAACCGAGGTTGTACGCGGCATGATTATACATCATTAATTTCGACCTTACAGTTGCTGTAATTAAGTCGCTCATCACATCAGCTCCCTTGTAAATATCATTTTCACTCCTCTCACTCAGACACTTATTTATTTCCTTTATTTATTTTCCCCTCAGAGCGAGAGATTCTGGCAAGATGATTAGCAGCACACGTCTCTCGATTAGCTCAAGTGTGTGTGAGCATTTCACTCTGTGGGAATTCCTTGTCGAGTAAACCCTCCTCCTCACCTCAGTGGTTGTAAATCTATTCTTCATTTTAATGCATAAATTATATGCCTATTAATCATTTATACTGTCAATATAATGCCCCCTCTCCTCGAGCAAAACCATCTATTCAGGGACTTCACGTCTGAAAAAAAGCACTTTTAGTTTGTGAAACATCTTCTCTGAGGAAATGCAGCATATGGTGTGTTCGTATGTGTGTGTTTGAATGTAGAGCTGCATGGTTTCGTCCAAAAATCATGTTGGGATTATGCTGACAGATTACAAACGAGGTACAAATACTAAAACATCTCTTACCACCACTGCTTGTGTATCAATGCTAAAGGAATAAAAGGCAGAAAATCATTGTGAAACAGCAGCTCTCATGTTCAACAGGGTGTGAAACACCACAAGCTTGCAAACGATGCCTTTTGTCTTCAAATTAAGTTATTTGGCTCATGCTCTGCTGCCAGCAAAAGAGTTACTCTTAAGGGTGTTCACCAGGGTACGAAATTAACTTTTAGCCCACCAGCTATAGTGAGGTTTAACGATATATACACAGTACAGTTGAAGTCAGAATTATTAGCCCCCTTGTATATTTTTTTCCCTTAATTTCTGTTGAACGGAGAGATTTTTTTTCCAACAGGTTTCTAAATTAATTTTTTATAACTAATTTCTAATAGCTGATTTCTTTTATCTTGGCTATGATGACAGTGCATAATATTTGACTCGATACTTTTAAGATACTTGTATTCAGCTTAAAGTGACATTTAAAGGTGTGTCTAGGTTAATTAGGCAAGTTAGGGTAATTTCAGTGGGTGTCACTTTAAAAGGAGCATTATCGCCGCGACTTGTACTGCTGCCGCTCTAATAGCCCATTTGCCCTGACTGTTACAGTACGGGTCACCTTTATCAGGCTTGTGTTTCCACTGCCTAAAGGGTACCAATGGTACCCTTTTGGTGGGTGTGGTGTATGACAAAGTTTCAGTTGAAGTGATTCTCTCTCGAGAAAATGTTTACAGTAAAGCTTTATGGGCCATTCACATATCATATGTAAAGCAGTTCTCAAAAAAATGATAAAGCATCTATTAATAAAAATACTTGTGTTTATATGTTTATTACTAACCTTTCTATGAACAGGATTTGATTATAACTGCAGATCAATGATAGGGCAAAATAGTCTACTGTAACGTTTGCAGTTATATAAAATAAATAAATTAATAAATGCAACACATACAGACCCTTACAGTCTCTATGTTACCAATTACAGAAAAGCTACACACAGCAGACATTTAGTCTTTATTTGAGTTCAAAAACAGCATGCAACATATAGCCCACAGTTAGTGTAAACCTCTCATCTGTGTCTTTAATCTTCACCAGCACATGTAGCCTCTGATAAAAAGTAATTCCATCAATCAGAGTTCATAATAGTCCAAAAGGCTGATAATAGTTATACATGGCAGTTTGTTCATGTTTTAGGTTGGTGAAAGAATCATTCATTCATTAATTTTCTTATTTCTAATTAACCGCCAACTTATCCAGCATTGATTTACGCAGCAGATGACCTTCCATCCGCAACCATTCGCTCCTTTGTTTTTTTCATGCTTCAATTTCGCATTTGTCCATTTCTGATAGGATCAGATGTCAGAAGCACTTCAATAATCGTGAACACAGTATTATAATCAGCTCAAAAAGTTCGTTATTTTAAATCTAGACATGCACATGATCGATTGTGAGATCCCTGGAGAAAGTGAAAGCGCTCGCAGTTTTAGACGGCTTTGTAAAACAAAAACAGGACACTGCAGATTTTGTTCTTCTTGGCTTTGTGGCTGCGCATCAAGACAATGACGAGGTTTGTCTGAGCTCAGGTCGATCATGGCTCATTTTAATATGTGGATATTATTATAATGTAATGTCTCGGCTGTGAAAAATGGCAGTTTCTTTGCTTTCATCTTCTGCTTGTGTATGCGTGAGTGACGCTTCTCTATAAGCCAAAAGCCGTCCGCTGCGTGTCTTGCTTTACCTTTTGCTACACTTTTGTCGTGCTAGGTACCTTTAGCAAACGGCGCCCAAAAAGTGGTACAGTGCGATTCGGTTTTCGGCACCTTTTAACAGTGCAAACGACCATAACAGTGTACCGAACCATACTGTACCACTCTGTGGACATGAGCCATAAAGGAATAAGAACATGTTTGTAGGTATAACCCTAGTTAACGACTATGCCGCCAGAGGGCACAAAGGGACAGGATGCTAATGGACAGAAATGGCATATACATTACTTGTAAATACTCTGCTACTTGTAAATGAAGATGAAACAATGAAGCAAAGCATTTTAATTCCTACATTAATCATTAAAAACGTGTTAACAATCTTTATTATCATTGTAATCTTCTTAAGTGAAAATAGGATTCATTTTGGAAAGTAGAAAAAAACAAAAGACAACTAAAATGAAGGCACTAAAACTGATACAATCTGAAGTCTTTAGATTTCCAGAAAGCATTTAGATATTTTATTTGCAACGTTTGTTCTTTAAAGTCCATTTCTGTAGCTACCAATGTGGAACCATTAGAGATTTTTCTCACTGAGATTCACGCAGTGTGTTACAGTTTATCAGAAACCAGGCAATGATTATATTTGCATATCACATGTTGGCATCAGAAGCAATGAGCTCATAATAAGATTCACCTGGAGACATCACAATGCTCAACATGAACCATACATTATTTATTTAGAGAGATGGATTTCACATCACAGATGTCGATTACCAGCTGCGCTTTGTTTCTACTAATATCATCAAGTTTGTAATGACACGCTTCGTCACAAAGGCTTGACCATACAATTCCGTAACTCGCAGGTGCAGTTTATAATTTCTGCATGAGCAGCAGTGCCAAGCAGTTGTGATTGTCTTGAGATTGAAATGCTCTTACGGTGCTTTCTGTGTGCTGCAGGTTGGAGATGTCGTGGTGTGAAGGTTCGGGAGGCAAGATGACGTGGGTGAAGTTGCTTCTTTCCTTAGTGCTTCTACACGCAGTTTCTGAAGGTAATGGCGCACACACTGACACAAACACATGCATACTTGGACGTGTGTATGGATTACGAGGACTCTCCATAGGCATAATATATTTTATACTGTAAGATATTTTACTTAATAGAGAGTAAACTCTTTGCATTATAATTATTAAGTATGAAGCACGAAGGCCAGTGGTTAGCACTGTTGCCTCACAGCAAGAATGTCTTTGTCAGATCTTTATTTAGCCAGTGGACATTTCTGTGTGGATTTTACGTGTTCTCCCCGTTCTCGCGTGGGTTTCCCCCAGGTTCTCTGGTTTCCTCCTACAGTCCAAAGACATGCGACATAGGCAATTTGACCAAACCAAATTGGCAAACGGGAGGGAACTCCAGGCTCGAGGATCTTATAAGCTCAGGGCTCTCTCCCGGGACAGCATGGGAAACACGCTTTATAATCAATCGTCAGCTAAATGTGAACTCTTGAATTGAAAAAGTGTATCTAGAAGTCAATATAATATTAATTTTAAGTTTGTTGAGATAACATCAAATGAACTTCTTTTTATGTTTTTTTTTTAATCATCTTGCATGCAATGAGCATATTTTTAATTTAGCATAATATGTACATTCATTCATTTTCCTATGGCTTTGTCTATTTATTCATTAGGGGTCACCACAGCAGAATGAACTGCCAACTTATCCATCATATGTTTTACACAACGGATGCCCTTCCAGCTGTTTGTTTGCTGGAAATTAGAACTGAATTTAGAAATTATTTTGAAACAAATCTTTGCGCTATTAAATTAATATTTAATTATGTAGGCTAATGGATGTCTTCAGTGGAGTGTACAACACCGTTTTCCTGTCCACAAAAGAGAGAAAGAGAAAATAAAGGCCAATTGGAGCAGGCTCATTCATTTTTAACAGTTTTCTCGCTAATAAAACGTTCAGTTTTTTCACTTTCAAAGTCACAGAGCGTACTTTTCTGTCCCTAAAATAGCAAATTGTGGATTTGGAGATGCCCTTAACGCTTTTGCGCCATGAGCTTTAGACTATGCATCTAGATCATTAAAATAGGGCCTTAGGTATTCCAAACCTGTTTGAGCTTCTTCAAACTGCTGATCAACACAAAAGAAGATATTTTAAAGAATGTTAGAAATCAGTAGCTGTTGACCTTTTGTATTTTCTTCTTTCTACCAAGGAAGTCAATGGACACCTGTTTCCCATACTCTTCCAATCCTGTTTTTTTTTTTTTAGTGTTCAACCAAAATAAATATATAAAGGTTTGAAACCACTTGACTGTGAGCGAAAAGTGAAATATTTATTTTTGGGTGAACAATCCCTTCAAATGGATCTCTTATTAAATGTGCTCGTAAAATATATCCGACTAAGTGCGAAACTAATTTGATATTGTTTTGAATGTCAAATCAGTCTATGCGAAGAATAGAACTTGTTTTATGTGAACCTGAGGTGATGACTTGACTCATGAATATTAATGCCATGACAACATTAGCCCAGACTAATTAATATTCATGAGCCCAAAGGCATTACACCCCACCCATTCCGGTCCTCTGCTTACTTGTTGCTCGCAGGTCAATTGTGTTTCTAAGACTTTAAGATTAAAACCGTGATTGTGCTGACGACGGTCTGTCTTCTGTGTCGCTCATCATTTTTCAGCGTGCTCTCATTACCTTTCTGTTGTCCTTTTATCAGTCCGTGAGTCCTGTCTTTTTTCAGACATCTCACTCCATCACTGTTCTCTCAGGCCTGTCTGACATTCCTCTCTTTTTGCGAGTGTGTGTGTGTGTGTGTGTGTGTGTGTGTGTGTGTGTCAGACACCTGTGATGTGCGACGGCACGTTTACCAACACAATGTCGCTGCCACTTAACATCAGCCCACAGGAGTTTATAATTCACTGCCCTCTCCTTCCTCTTCCTGTCGGTGTGTCCTTTTCTTTCGCAGAGCCTCTCTCAATCATTTACACACTCCATCTTTCTTCATGAATCTGCCGCGCTTCTCTCTGTCTCTCATAGGACCCGTGGGAGCCGTTTTCTCATGGTTATTAGCTCTCTGTGATTGGTTCAGGGTTTTTGAGGGTTAAATGAAATGGAGGTAAATTAGGGAGGGAGTTTGAGGCCTGAGCCCCAGAACAGCTCGGGAGTGAATGTTAAACACTCCTTGGCCAAAAGGGAGAGAGAGAGAGAGAGAGAGAGAGAGAGAGAGAGAGAGAGAGAGAGAGAGAGAGAGAGAGAGAGAGAGAGAGAGAAGAGAGAGAGTTTAAAGAAATAGTTTGCAAAAAAATTGTCATTATCTTAACTTTTTCATAGTGACCATGACTGTCAAGCTCCCACAAGGACAAAAAAAAAATCTTAAAAGTATTACGAAAAACTTATTAAAGAAAGTTTTACATCTTCTGAAGGCATGTGGTAGCTTTTTCAGATGAACAAACTGGAATTTGTTTCATTGTTTACACCCCCAAATCAGAAAAAGTTGGGACAGTATGGAAAATACAAATAGAAAGTTGTGATTGTAAAATTTACTTTGACTTGTATTTTATTGCAGACATTACAAAAAAAACATTATTTAATTAGTTCCTAATTAATTTTTTATACATTTTTTACTAAATCATTTCATAAATAATAATTTTATAAATAATTTTTTATATTGCAATTTTGCAATCTTGCAACGCATTTAAAAAAAGTGGAAACAGTTATTCATTTACCACTTTGTAATGTTGCCATTCCTTTTCACAACACTTAAAAGACGTTTTGGGACTGAAGACACCAAGTGATGAAATGTTTCAAGTGTAATTTTGCCCCACTCTTTATGCAAAGAAGTCTTGAGGTGGACAACAGTACAGGGTCTTCGTTGTCACATTTTGCGGTTCAAAATGTGCCACATATTCTTTATTGGAGACAGGTCGGGACTGCAGACAGGCCAGTCAAGTACCTGTATCCTCTTCCTCTACAGCCAGGACTTTGTAATGTGTGCAGAATGTGGTTTTGCATTTGTCTTTTAATTATGCATGGGCATCACTGGAAAAAGAAGGCAGAATATTGTGCTTCAAAATCTCTATTCACTTGTTAATTTAATGAACCTTTATTTAGATTGTGTAGATTGTGTCAAAACAGCTCAACAATGAAGTTCTAGTAAATTGACAATGTGTTTGTCCAGTTTTCAGGGTCAAAGTTCAGTTTAGTTCAGTTCAGTATGGTGTATTTTTCACTGCTGAAAGTTTAAACACTGAAGAGCAAATCCATCCATGTGCAGCTCCACAAGTCCAAAACCATGCAAGCCAGTGGTGACAGTGGCAGGAAACAAACTTTACCAATTGACGAAAGTGAAGGGATAAAAAAACCTTGAGAGAAACCAGGCTCAGTTAGGCACAACTAACTCTCCTCTGGCCAAACGTCCTGTGCAGAGCTGCTGTCTAGGCGCAGGAGACTGAAGAACCCTGGACTTTTCAGCAAGTTATCTGTGCCCAGAGCACTGACACAACCCCATACCATGACAGACCCTGGCTTTTGAACGTGTTGCTGGTAACAGTCTGGATGATCCCTTTCTTCTTTGGTCTGGAGCACATGGTATCCATTTCTCCCAACAGATTCAACTGAACACAGTACACAATTCCACTGTGTGAGGGTCTATCTCAGATGGATCTGAGCCCAGAGAAGTTTTGGACACTGTTAACATAGGGCTTCCTTTTGGCACAGTGCAGTTTTAGCTGGCATTTGTGGATATGAACTGCATAACTACATATTGTGGTACTTGACAAAGGTTTGCAAAAGTAGTCCTGAGCCCACGTGGTGGTATCGCTTATATATGAATAACTATTCTTGATGCAGTGCTGCCTGAGGGAATGGAGATTCACTGTTGTTCAGCTTAGGCTTGCGCCTTTGTTATTTACGCACTGAAATTCCTCCAGATTTTAATCATGATATGCCTGTCTTTGCTCCTAAAGGACTTGACCTTTCTTGGATGCTGCTTTTGTACCAAATCATAATTGCAATCAACTGTTGACATCACCTGTTTCAAATAACATCATTATTTAACCAATTTACCCGATTATTAGCCCTAAACTGCTCCTGTCCCAACTTTTTTTGGAATGTGTTGCAGGTCTGAATGACAGAAAATTATGTATATTTACAAATAGAATAAAGTTGATCAAACAAAACATGAAATATTTTGTGTTCATATTGTATGCAAGTCAAAGTCAATTTGTAAATTACTACTTTCTTTCTTTATTTGCATTTTCCATCCCAACTTTTTTTTTTTTCTTTGGGGTCGTACATGTTTGCCTCATCCAACAAATTCTCATGACACTTTGTACTGTAATAATGTTATGTTTTTGTGAGTTGATGGTTAGCTTTTCGTTATGTAATATATTTATACATTACAAGCCTAAACCACACTGTAAAAAGAAAAAAAAATTCTGTAAAAAAATTGACAGATTTTCTCCCCGTGATCTTGTGGATTTCCTCTGGGTGCTTTGGATTCCCCCACAGTCCAAAGACATGGGTAATTGGGTAAACAAAATTGATCGTAGTGTATGAGTGTGTGTGAATGAGGCATGCTTATTTCGGTGCTAACCGACAACTGTGGCTCGTTAATAGGATATTAACGGTTAACTGGTCAGATTAATATTAAATTATTAGAATTTTTTTTTTAATTGATGTGTCTATTTTGTGTCTGACACATTAAATATAGTATTTTAAAATACTGATTTATTTTAACATGCTAGCATTTAATAATAGAACATAACAACAGAGCATCTTCACGCACCTACAGTGTTTCCAACAGCATAGAAAACCAGAATAAACTAAAGAAAATGAATAAAATAAATAGGCCTGCCTATTTTTAATTTAAATTTCATTTAGATTACAAAACGAAAACACTGACTGATCCTTTTTAAGAACCGGTTTATGCATTTATTTGTGGCCGATGTTATTATTATTTGAAAAAACCTTTTTACATTTTTAATAGGAATCATTATTTTAAAGATTATGTCTTGATATAAAGGTTTCATCTCTCACTCGCGGTTCAAGTGCGCGCTGCGTGATGAAAAGACAATGACAACGCATGCATTTTTTGACTTTTTGCAAACAGTTTTGTCGTTTAAATATGATGCTTTAATTTGCATACATGCTTTACACGTTACACGTTATTGTTAACAAATGTGTTGCAGAACTTGCAGTTGAACAAGGGGCCAATGGTAAAGTGAAACGGCTATTAAACTCCAGCATGATAAAGTCACTGTATGCAGAACCACAGACCTTTATCTATAAATTAATTCAAATTATGGAATCTGTGTTCTTCATAACTGAAAGCTACGTCGTGTTTGCTGGCTTCATGCACCTGTCAGTCAGTCAGCACGTAACCTCAAAGGGTCTAACAAATAGGGCACAGCACTACTACGGTTACAGAAAAGTTTGCGCTGTTATAATTCACTTGCTTTTTAATACGTTTTGGTGCAATTATAACCCACTATTAAAAACAACAACAACAGTGACTAAATGTTTTGAATAAAAAGCTGTAATGTAGCCGTGGAGGGATGCATTTTGGTGTGGCGCCTCGCCATGGAAAAATGAATGTAGCGGGAACCATGCTCTTAAAAAGTTCTCTGTAGTTGTCTTGACAACACAAACACTGCTGTGGTATGAGCCGCGTGCAAAACACTTGCGGCTTTTAGTAAACCATTCAAAAGATGCCCCTCTTAATGCAAAAAAGCGCATCCAATCGGCCCCTTATGCAGCCAAATTCTAAAAATATATAAAATAATATTTTTAATCGTTTTACTTATACCATTAATCAGTTACAAACACACCCTTTCGGTTAACGGTTAATCGATTATTTTGAGCCTCCCTAGTGTGAATGTGAGTGTATGGGTGTTTCCCAGTGCTGGGTTGCGGCTGGAAGGGCAGCCACTGTTTAAAACATATGCTGGAATAGTTGGGGGTTAATCCTGCTTTGGCGACCTCTGAAATAGAGACTAAGCCGAAGGAAAATGAATGAATGAATGAATGAATGAATGAAATTGACAGCTGTGGTTGTCAAAATTTGGGTGGTTATTGATTAGTTATTCTGTTATTCAGACTTTTTGCCTTGTCAAAGAAATATGAATAATGTTTGAGTGAGAACACTTAACTTTTTTTAACTGAGAACAGTTTTATGTTCTCATATGTTACTCCTTTTGTGTTGCTTCGGGGAAAATGAAAATATATATATATATTTTTGGTAAACTTGTTTAAAAGGTAAAGAGTGTAAGAGAGGTGAGCTGTCTTCATGAAAAATGAACAGATCTGATATGATGTGAAGTTCTGTCTGACCTGCTCACTCAAAAGACTCTCAGTCAATGTCACAATAGTAAAACATCAGCTATCAAGCCTGCAGCGCGCGAGCAACAAAACTGCAGCCGCAGGCATTTGTAGACCGCTCATTATGACACCAAGTTTTTTTTTCATGATAATGGCTTTGAATTATCAAATTGTCAAGAGTATGCCTTTGAGAACTCTTTCAAATCCCACAGTGCAAACCAAACTGCCTCATATAATGTGTTAGTACAACCGGTTTAAAGTGAATTTAGTTTTATGTGGTTTAGGTTTTAGATCAGAGTGCGCTTTTATGCATTTTTCCTTCCCTTTTTCAGATTTTGCGCTAAAATAAATGCACATTGCTTACATGTTGCAGACATTGGATGCAAGAAACAGGCCTTAACGGCTCAAGTGTGAAAATTCAATTAAACTGTATTAATTTGAGTATTCATTACAGTTCAATTTCAATGCATGGGGTGCTAATCAAATTTCATTAAGCAACAATAATGGTATGATTGTTAGTTTTAACATTACAGTTTAAGGATCTAGTGCTGAAACCAAGACCGATGCGGCAAGGTTGTGCTTTTGGCAGGAACTCTCATTATTAGATCTCTGATCCAGTTTGTCACACACCTAAAACTCGTTTTAATCTCTGCTGCCATTCAGTAATGGTCCAGTAATTAACACGGGCTGACGTGTTACTCCAGATTGATTTTAGTTAGTGCGTATTGGAGGATGCACAGTCGATTTTTGCTCAACCTGTCTCCTTCTCTCTCTCTCTCTCTCTCTCTCTCTCCCTCCCTCCCTCTCTCTCTTTCTGGCTTGTTCTTGCCACGTTCAAAGCAGAGTCAAAGAGTGATTCACCCTATCAGACACCAGCACTTCAAACACACACACACATGCACAAGCCCTTTCTGGAGTGTGTGATGTCTCTGTGGCCCAATACCCATGCACACGATCAAAGCTCTGCTGATCTTCCTGACAAATCAGCTTGTCTCCTGCTACCCCTGGAAAGAGAACACACACATGCGTGTTTACACTGGGGAAGCATGCCTCACACACAACAAGCACGGACGAGGACGTGTACACATATCAGAGCAAAGTGTGTAGTGAAATATTGAGTGCTAATCTAGGGGGATTCATGTAAGAGATACTATTCTATAAAATGGTTTAGTTTACCAATCAAATTGTCAATAACATTTGTTTTGAATAAAGTATCCTAAAATTATATACATTTATATAAAAGTTTGCTAAAATAATATCAAACTAGTAGCGAAGCATTCGTTAATTAACGGTAGAATTCTCGTCTTCCACAAGGCGGCACTCTGGCTCAGTGGTTAGCAATGTCACCTCACAGCAAGAAGGCCGCTGGTTTGAGTCTCAGCCGGGCCAGTTGGCATTTCTGTGTGGAGTTTGCATGTTCTCCACGTGTTTGCTTGGGTTTTCTCCAGGTGTTCTTGTACTTTTACTCATTATTTTTTGGATTCATGTAATTAAGTTCAAAAGTACCCGTAAATTTTAAATGCTACACTCTTGCTGGGAACCAAAATTGCCTGTAAGTTGCTATAAAATTTGCAATAATCTTCTAAAACAGGGGTTTGCAACCTTTTTACTCCGGGGCCCACTTCTTTCTCTGATCAACTTTTGAAGGCCCACCTGTTTGAGGTTTTCTCCAAAATGTTTGTACGAAATGCTCATTTAAACCTTTAATTATATATAATACCCATTAGTTGTGCCTTCTATCATTTTATATCGTCAGCATTTTATAAAAAATATATAATTTTATAAAAATGTATTAATTAATTAATTTTCTTTTCGGCTTAGTCCCTTCATTAATCTGGGGTCGCCACAACGGAATTCAATTCAATTCAATTCAATTCAGCTTTATTTGTATAGCGCTTTTACAATGTAGATTGTGTCAAAGCAGCTTCACATAAATGGTCATAGTAACTGGAACAGTGTAGTTCAGTTTTTAGTGTTTAAGTTCAGTTCAGTTTAGCTCAGTTCAGTGTGATTTAATCATTACTGAGAGTTCAAACACTGAAGAGCAAATTCATCGATGCGTAGCTCTACGGAATGAACTGCCAACTTATCCAGCATATGTTTTGCGCAGCAGATGCCCTTTCAGCCGCAACCCATCACTGGGAAACACCTGTTCATCCATCCACACACTCATTCACACACACACTACGGACAATTTAGCTTACCCAATTCACCTACAGTGCATGTGTTAGGACTTGTGGGGAAACCTGAAGCACTCGGAGGAATCCCATGAGAACATGGGGAGAACATACAAATTACAGAAATGTCAACTGACTCAGCCGAGGCTCGAACCTGCGATCTTCTTGGTGGCCACGCCGCCCTTGATAAAATTAAAATAGTAATAAATTTAACAGCAATTTTTGAGTTAAATGGTCAGAAAAAAGAAAATTGTGCTGAGAACTTGTCTGTTTTTCACTCTTAAATCACATACACTCTCTTATATACACACACACACACACACACAGCCCTAATATTGATCGAAATCGTGGCTCCACATTGTGAGTGTTCATTTGATGTGTCCATTGATGTCCTTTTGAGTTTGCTGTCTAATGTAACTGCAGTAACTGTGTGTGCTTTTCTCTTAAGACCCATACATGTCTTTCTCTCTCTCCTGCAGCCTCCGCTAATCAGCCACCTCGTTTCCAGAATTACTTCTTCCAGTCGTACCTGCTCGTCTATGAGGACACACCAGTGGGTGAGTGTCTCAAACACACACTTCTCTGACTGTGCACACGCTAATGGAACTTTTTACACAAACTCTCACAGATGGACTTCAGTTTTTATGATGTTAGTTCATCAGGGTTGAATCTAACATGTTTGGCTTGACTTTTGATTTGTTCAGAGGCTTTTGTGTGCAAGCTATGCGAATAATGTAGGTTTTATGATGAGTTCAGAATTTGGGGTGTACACATGTAGTATGAAATTATATTTGGCAGAAATGCAACAAAAGTGGCTCATACTAGACAACATTTGTGTCTGTTATGAATTTTTCAGAAAACAAGTTGCTTCCCAATCAGTTTTGTTTTTTAACTGCATGAGTGAAGTCATAAATACCAACTGGCTGATGGAAAAAAGAGTGAAAAAAAAACAGTGGCTGCCTAAGTAGTATATTTTGGACTGGTAGCCTTGACATTAGGGTTAGGCCGATGGCAGATACACATCACAATGCTAAGCTGGCTATGCGATCCTCCACCCCGCCCCAGTCGCAGCAGCAACCCGCTTGAGAAAAATATAAACGACTCTATTTACACTTATAAGTCTTAGCTTTAAAATAACATTTCAGAACGAAAAAAATCCATGTTCACACTGGCGTTTCACCTAGAAAACGCACGTCATATGACCACACAAACTCTGTCATGCGCCGCAGTGTGCGCGTCTGAGCTCCAGCAGTCAGCGGGTGTTTTGAGCACAATACCTCAGAGAGCAGTGAACGTCGGACAGTTCATCAAGGATGGACTGCTGGATTGCGTCTCACTATAGTTGTTAAAGTGATATTTAATTAATCTTGTCTCTATTTAACGACTCTTGTCTTTTTAATCTAGCAGGTAACTGGTCACAGCGTCAGTACACTGGTGGGTTCTTGTTGGCTGTGCACCTTTTTTACCAACCAAGTTTGTCGACGCTATTATATTGACACAGATCAATCTGCCTATTCATGCCAGAGTCCAGCAGAAAATGTATTTTTTATTTATTATTTATTTATGATTTGGTTTTAGGTAAAACAAAGACCATGAGGGTCGGGTAGTTGAAACAAAAAAGGTTACAAATAAGTAATTTGTTATGAATTTATTTATTCTTCATAAATTAATTCACTGCTGCCTATGACAATGATGCCATCGTCCATCGTGATGTTTCACATTAGACATCATACGATGCCTTATTGGTCGACATCGCCCAACCCTACTTGACATCAGAAAGCCTTAAAATGAAAGAAAACCGCACAGTGGATCTTCTTTTGCCTAATTCCATAGTCGCTTTTTCATTTTGTCATGTTTGTATTTTAGCAATTCAGATCAAACTTAGATATTGTGTATTTATTTGGATATGGATTTTTTTAGTTCGATTAAAATGATCTAAAAGACTTATTTTAAATTCTGATTGAATGCAAATGATGAAATGATGATATACATGGACACCTGTGACTGAATTCATTCAGTATATTTATTGCTTAAGCCTGGTTTATTCTCGATGTGTTTTTTTGAGATTCAAGTAAACAGTGCGCGCGGTGCTGCGTTTGAATTAAGTTGAATATGAAACTCTGAAGAGATTTTGTATGAAACAGAATGCCAGTATAGACATATTTATGATCCGTGATCATAGAGATAACCTAATGATCAATAATTCTTGGCTAGAAATTGCAACAGCTATGGAAAAGGAGAACGTTTTTGTTAAAAGGTTTGGAAAAACCCGAAGGATAAGTTTGTTAAAACCAAAAGAGGCCATGGCAAAAGTGGAGACCCGAGTACACAATTACAGAATATGTTTTTCAACCAGTGATAGGTTTAACAATGATTTATATATTGCAATTTTGAATTTAAAACAATTTAATAGTTACAAACTATAATGAAGTCACAGAATTATTTCTTTGATAACTGGGAAGAAATATTTAAACCTACCGGTTTACAATATACTGATGCCTGTTTCTCAGGGCTTTATTGGTGATAATAGTCAGGAATGTTGGACCATTATTGCCTTTTTAGCATAAGTAGAGGACAGAAACTAGCCAGACAGTAATGTGTCAATTGTGGAGCCGGCTAAATCTAAAAACATCTTTATTTTTTTAGTAAGTGTGCTCTTTTAATTTTCTTTTATTCTTGCCATAATAAAAATATATTTGTAGAGCGACCCATGTTCTCTTGTCATTAATATTTAAATAAACTTTAAAAGGTAAAACTGTCTGAGATATGAACAAAAGCAAGTGATGGATCAAAAATTGATAAAAAAAGAATCTTGAATCATTATAAAAGTCCTTATAATCATTAAAATAATTATAAAAACAATAAAAATAATTAGTTTAAAAATATTGATGATAGTAATGAAATGATGTAGTTCCTGAAACTTCCTACTTCTTTGTTTATCCATCTGACTTTATGGTTAGTTTCTTTTGACCGCCCCCTGTCATTTTAAAGAATATCACTACGGCTAACGTGGCGAGTATAAAAGCCTCGTCCATTTCGCGAGGTGCACACACAGTCAGTGGAGGTGCGCGATGCGGCGCCAGGCGAAAGTATAAATCCAGCTTTAGCCTTCCAACAAGCTTCTTGTCAACTAGTTTCTTAATGATTTTTTTGTGATAATGTAAAGCATTTGTGACCCTGGACCTCTGCACAGGTATATTTTTGGCAATAAGCAAAACTTATTTTAGCATTTAAAATTTAAAAATACATTGTTAGAGACCAGATCAATGCAACTATTGGGTATGTAATGCAAGGTGCAGGAGTATTGACATTAAATGAATTAAACAATGAGTATAAAGTTGCATTATCCAGTGAACTATATAGTGGCTGTAAGGTACATAAGTTCAGCTTTTTTAAATAGTTCATCTAGTGAGTCTTGTTCAATGGCTGAGGTTTGAGTTCAGTAGATTTACAACTGAGGGGAAGAAACTGTTTCTCAGTCTTATGGTGCGACACAGAATACTGCTGTAGAGAGGGATTGAATAGTCTGTGACCGGGATGAGAGATATCTTTCATGATATACCTTGTTTTCTTTACGCAGCATTTGTGGTGAGCGTCTTTGGTGGGAAGCCCTATACCACTGATGTACTGGGCAGTTTTTGTATGCATCAAAAGAATGTATGGGTCAAAATGATAGATTAACATTTTTCATTTATGGCAAAAATCATCAGAGAAATAATTAAAGATAATTTTTCATGAAGATGTTTTGTACATTTCTTATTCATTTATTCATTCATTCATTCATTCATCCATTCATTTATTGATTTATTCATTCATTCATTTTCTTCTCGGCTTAGTCCCTTTATTAATCTGGGGTCACCACAGCGGAATGAACCGCCAAATTATCCAGCATATGTTTTATGCAGCGGATGCCCTTTCAGATGCAACCAATCACTGAGAAACATTCATACACACTAATTCACACACATACACTACAGACAATTTAGCTTACCCAATTCACCTATAGCGCATGTGTTTGGACTTGTGGGGGAAATTGGAGCACCCGGAGGAAACCTACACGAACGCAGGGAGAACATGTAAATACACAGAAATGTCAAATGTCAACTGACAAAGCAGAGGCTCGAACCAGCGACCTTATTGCTGTGAGGCGACAGCACTACCTACTGTGCCACCGTGTCGCCCTTACATTTCCTATATCAAAATAAAATACGTAATAATATGTATTGCTAAGAACTTAATTTTGAGAACTAAACATGATTTTTTCAGTTTTTGGATTTTCTGAATGCTCAAGTTCCAGATAATTAAATATTTGTATCTTAACCAAATGTTGACTTATCATAACAAAGCATACATCAGTGAAAAATCTGCCTATATTCAGGTTCCAGATAATGCACAAATCTTAATTTCCAAAAATTGACACCTTTGACTTTGGTTTTATGGTCCAGGGCAAAATGCACCACATTCAAAAGATTTTTTTTTTAAAGAGAGCTAATCTCCCTTCACTTTCTATACCCCTCACTCTCTCTTTCTACAAATCTTCATACCTTATTCATAGGGTTTCTGTCTTTAATGTCTCTTTCACCTCGCCCAGTCTTTAGGTCGAAGAGCATTCATGTTTGTTTAACCTTGTGACCTCTTGTTATCATAAGCTGCTTTTGTGCTCTTATCTGACCCTCAGTCTACGGTTTGCCTACGGTTTTTATCCGCCGTTTATGGACTGAATGATAAACACTTGTTTAGACTTTAAGTATTTGGTAAAGGACTTGTGTTGTGTTTTAGGCTTAGAAAATAATTTATATTGATAAACTCAACAAGAATGATAAAACGCAATACTGTATAAAGACTTTCTGTGTATTCTCTTGCTGTAAGTTTGCAAAACACACTTTTTTTTTTTTGCATTTGGGACATTGTAAATACAGCACTGAACATTTTTACATTTGAACATTTACATTTTAAGTTACATTATTATGCTGTCTTGAATAGACTTAATTAAATCAAGTAGAGATTAAATTAGTTAATTGAATTGAAATGTTTTGCATTTGCAATGGTAACATTGCAACATTGCAATAGTAACGTCTTCAATGTCAAGTATGAGTTATTGTTGACCAGAAGCTTTTATATCAATGGCAAAATGTAATCATTGTGGATTTAAAGCTTATAATTAGTTTTTTTTTTTTTGTAAAAATTATCAAGTGAGCTTAAAGCATTCAGCCACAAGAAACAATATTTGTACCTATAGTGAAGACTGCCAAGTGGGATTTTTGCCAAGGAGAAGATGGGGTGGAAGGGGGAATTCTATATGAAGGTAAGGCAGGTAGAGTGAAATCGGTCTATTTATTGTAGGCTTAGATCAATCTGATTAGATTAGTTTATAAAATCAGTTTATAAAACTTCACTTAAAGTTAATTTTTACTAGTTTATAATTATTTATGCTGATGAGCTCCCCTATAAAATCACCCCAGCTGTTTTGAAAAGTGCATTTTTTCACAAATAGAGATATTCAGTCCATCTCGTAAAATATTTTTCTTATCACAGTATATGTGTATGTATATATGTA